CATGAAGTCTGCTCTGAGTGACGGAGTGGTTAGAGTCTCTCTCTGAAGAGGTGCTTAATTGTCCATCAGAGATTTCACCGCTTTGCATGCCGAGAGATCTTCCACATTCTGTTTACGAAAGGTTAGCGGACGTTTTACAAATATAACTTATCTACGGCAGCGAAATAAAGGCAAGCTATGAGATCATGAAGTAATTAATAGCGCTTGTCTGTAAAAATCAGACAAATTCTAAATTTCGCGGCAAGGCTGAAAAATTCGATTTCTTTCTTATTTTAATATTAGATAGGCTAGACTATAACTAAAATCACTGGATACTCTTTTGGGAAAAATATCTTTTTATTTCAGAGAAAAATACAAATAACAAAATTCCGTTAAAATCGTCATTTTTAGCAGCAAATTATTGCACAAGTTTGAGGGCTTCGCACTCAAAAACGAATCACAATCTCGTCTTTTTAACACTCAAATCTTCTTTTTCAACCTCATAAGACCTCACAAAACGATTTTTGTAAACACTGCGTTCCTCTTTGCGTGTAAAATAATTTAATTTCGAAAGCATGCATTTCTCTTCAGTTAAAGTATTTTGTAAGTAAAGTTAATTTTCAGCATGTGCTAAACCTTCAAATGGATTAAGCTTTGGGCGGTAGAATTACGAAAAGCTGCTAAAAATGATGAACGGAATTTCGTTATTTGTATTTTTCTCTGAAATAAAAAGATATTTTGCCAAAAAAAGTATCCAGTGCTTTTAGTTATAGTCTAGCCTATCTAACATTAAAATAAGATAGAAATCGAATTTTCCACCCTTGCCGCGATATGTTTGATTTTTACAGACAAACGCTCTTAATCAAGCGCAGTTTACATTGAGCTAAAAAATGTCGTTAACATAATTTCAGAAACTTTCAACGAAATGAAGAGCCTTTAAGAGCTTCTATGATCAGATCAACTGTAATGCATACAATGATTATCAGCTGTAGAGGAAAGCCATTTCCTTACCTTTCACGCATCCATACAGTTCCACTCTCATTGATATCTCATCTTCCCACTCCACTGGTAGAAAACGTATGTACCTTGCTGTGATTGATGGGTTCAGATCGTGATAAACAACACTGTTCTGGTCTGTGTTTCCGTCAAATTCCTGCATCATAATAGATGTGAAATATATCTTGTGTGTTTTGATATAAAATGCACGGTACATGTCCGCCTTGTATACTTAAGAACTTGTTTAATAAAATTTATGTAATTATATTATGCAATGTTTTTCGCTGGGTAAACCGTGAAATATTTCACGAGCGATTTGATTCATGAAATTCATCCCATGCCACCGTACGGTAAAATTAAGTCGAACTTTTTCTACAAATTTCTATCTGAGGTTAATCAAAAACTGGATAGACGAGATTTTTACTTCGGCAAAGAAAATGATTGATGTATGAAATTTTCATACATCGTAACAATTTTCTTGAACAACTGCCGACTCATGCATCGTAACAAATCGAGTAACGAAGAGGATTGTTTGTCCTAGCAAACTACTCAAAGAACACATTGGGAAGTTTAAGTTAAGGAATGAACTTGGCTTTGTGTACAATGAGCAGCTCATGTTTTAGAACCCTTCCAGGCTTCTGATCAGTTTTATCTACCTTTGATATGGTTTGTCCTTGTTCCGTGTAGTTTTGGAATCTCACTCCATAGTTGCTGTATTGTAGCTTGCACTTCTTCACCCATTTGTTATGTTGATGGGATCCCTGTGTTGCTACTCGTGTTACTTCAGTGTTTTGAGCTCTGAGATCGAGCTGAAGCCACTGATTAATATCCTTCTTATCAGCTATCCAAGTCTTCCCTGTGTGATGTAATCTTACAATTTTCGCGTTATCCCTGTGTTTTTGGGACGAGAAAGTTATCTGCTCATCGGTGATTGCACCACTTTCCATACCAAGCGTTCCTTGGCAACGTAAATCTATTTTAAAGCAAAAGGAAATCTAAAATTACCAAATAAAAAAAGAGAGCTGCAACACCTTAATATACCTGAAATTGCTCACACGCCATCGGTAGATATTTTCCATTTTACATAATCTGAGTACATTTTGCCTTCTGTCCACATCAGATGTATTTTGTTAATGAGAAAATATCTCCTTAATGCTGTTTACATGTTGTGAGTAAACGTTGTTGCGAAGAGCTTAGTGTATAATCTTCCATTTTAACAGATCAAAAGCATCAGATCTCTTCATTGATGTTACCAAGCATTTTCTCACATAAAACTTTAAAAGCCCGCAATATCTAGAAACCTCGTATCAATTATTTTTTCTGTTAATTGTTGGATTTGTTGATGACGTTCGAACAGAGTTGATATGAATCCAAAAGGGGCGAACGTTATAATGTCGATCACCCATGATAAACAGCAGATATCGGTTTGAATGTGGTACGAAAACGTGTCTACATGCTCTTTTATGATCAACGAACCTGGCTCGAATAATGCTTAATCAACCTTAAAGGTGAAGGTCTTTCTGGAAATTCCCAATTACATGTAAAAACTTTATTTTAGGGAAAAACGCAAGGTTATTTTTTAGCCGATGATACTTACATAGTTAGCATATTATGGAATTTCTTTAACCTTAGAATTCAAGAGTGACACTTTAATTCTTGGCATGCTTATAAATGTTTTATGAGCGGGGAGGTGTCATTTTCAAGAAAATATCAATTTAGTAGAATAAACCAGTTGTTGCCGCTACCAGCGATGCTGAGTTCCGAGGCCAAAAGGTGCTCTAAAAAGGATGTTCGTATAACAGACAGCTAATCCGGTTTTTGAAGCGTATAATTGTAATATATAAACCATTTTAATTTTATTTATAAGTGCTTTTCCTTCAATTTTGAAGCGGACTTCTAGATTGGGCTCGTACTTTAAAATTACCTCTAATGGTGTAAACCTGAAATGCGTTGTGTCCAATCGTGTCCCCAAAACCACACTTCTTACATTCCTTAAGTTTTTTAGCTTTCTGCGCTGCAGTAGCATCTGCTGAACACGTGTCATTATTCTTAACTGCAAATAACCTGTAACCTACTCTAGTTATTGCATTTGCTTCTAGTTTTGCGGCAGAGCTCGTCAGCAATGTACACGAAAGTGCGATCCAGAATTTTTTTTTGACTTTTTTCATCTCACCATTTATGCGGTAGTCTGGCATGCTAATATTGAATATTTCTGCAGTTCAGAACTTCCTCCTACTCGCCTTCGCAGGTGCCACTCAAAAGAAAAAGAAACTGAAACTCAGGAAACAAATGAATGCTCATTAGATGAAAGTATGAATACATTATTCATTAGATGAAAGTATGAATAAAGGTATGAATACGTGAAAAGATTTAATATTTGAATACTGACTATTCTGGCGATTGCTTCTTCCCCAATTTTTTTTTTTTTAATACGCCCTCGACTGAAAATGGACGCATGATCTAGCGCCTAATGCAATTCTAAAACAAATGCCTCCTAAATGGTAGCACAAGGCCATTTCTCCTCCCAGTTCACAGTATGCAAAAATAGCTATGGCTACTGACCCAAATTCACACTTGAATTTGACTTCTAGGCATTTAAATGTGCCAGGGCATGGATTATGACCAAAAGCTGAATGAACTGCATGGAACTCGCAACTAGCTTCTTCGATGCACTTCATCCGCACAATGACTAGAGAGTTCTCAGCTTTGCAGTTTGTATTGCTAATTGCGGGATGATTGCAAGTGTTTGAGTCCAGTCTACCATAATTTGCATCCACAACGTCGATAGTTCTTTGGTCATTTTCACAACTTATGGTCCTTTTATCTCCTTCACAAATGATAGCAGACCATATTTTCTCTGATAAAAGAGGAGAACTAAAAAACAAACAGCACTATCAATACGCCAAAAGTTTTGGAATGATGTTCACTTGCAGAGCACCCTGAAATTTTGCTAGTCTCGTGCCGGCGTCTTTTCAACCAACAAATTACACGCTGACGCGACTGTGTTTCTCGTCTGAAGCAGCCAAGTTTACATCAATTGGTGTGACAGTTAACTTTTTTTAATTGTGAAAACATTGTTTGGTTCCTTGGCTTGTTACTGACCTGTGCAGTTGGTTCTATTTCCCTCATATCCATCTTTACAAGTGAATTTGTAGGATGCCAACGTATTGTTAAACGCAGCATTTACATCACAGTCGTGTTTACCTTCAGTGCATTCGTTGGTATCTAAATCAACAAAAAACAATTTTTTTTTTTGGTCATTCCTTTTTGTCACGTAACAGGTATCATTGATAAAATAGAGAGTACGGATATGTTACAACTGGTTACGTGTGCAGTTAGTTCCATTTCTTTGAATTCCATCTTTAAACGTGCAATTGTGAGATCTTAGGGTATTGTTACACTTCGTATTTACATCACAGTTTTGTGTTCCGTTCATACACTCATCTAGATCTAGAACACGAAAAGGAAAATAATGTAAATGAGACCGTTTCTCTAACTAATCTGAAAAACTGAAGGTAACAGACGGAGTATGAATATGTCAGAACTAGTTATCAGTGCATTTAGTTCCATATCCTTGAAATCCATCTTTACAGGTGCACTTATAAGATCCCAGGAAATTGTTACACACAGCATTCACATCACAACCGTGTGTTCTCTTCAAACACTCATCTATGTCTGAGACAACAAAATTAATATCATTAGTATATGGAAGTTGTTTTGACTTGCTCTAGCTGCACGAATTTTCGTCTTCACGCGGGCGTTTCCTTTCCTGTTGCCAGATAAGAATACTTACCAGTACAGTTTGTCTTATTTCCCTGGTATCCTTTCTTGCACCTGCAGGAGTACGATCCAATGGTGTTATTGCATGTGGTATTACCCTCACAGCTATGTTTACCAGACAAGCACTCGTCTATGTCTACAAAAGGAAACAGAAGACGATGGACCTTATCTAAGTTGAGAAATAAACTTTGTACTCAGTTCTATTGACATTCGCTTCGTTAAAAAGGAAACTGAGGGATTACATATTGTTCTCGTAGATGGTGGGTAAGAAACCGCGTAAGAAAAAATTGAGACTGAATGAGGTTAAAAACAAAAATGAATGATGAATCCCATTCCAACAAATGAACAAAGTCGTTCATATGTAAGTCCTCTTTTGGATGTTGAATAACTTGTGCCATTCTGGATTATTCTTCTCGCAAGCCATGAAAGGCAAAGGCTCAGTTTTACCTGCGATGTTCTGTGACTATCAAACTACTGAGGTGTTCGCGACTGTTTGGTATTCATCCCTTTCAAATAAGTCTTCCCAATCACCTAAAAGAGCTTCAATTTGAGGGAGAGGCATGCGGAACTTATAACTTATACATTATGTTTCCATCTTAATGAAAATACAAGATTCCTTACTCTCATCCATCTACACACAAAAAGTGATAATCCTTGCCTGTAAACCCAGCTTGGCATGTTGCATCATTCGTGCAAGTATTTTGCATACAAGCATTCTAAACATCTTCTTAATTTTTAATTTAATTACAGATTTTAATGGTTAAAATAATAATGTACCTGAACACGAGCGTCCATCGCCAGTGTATCCTTCCTTGCAGGTACAGTAATAGGAACCCACAGTGTTGGTACAGTATGCATTGACGTCACAGGCATTGTTTCCACTGATGCATTCATCATGATCTTGTTGGGGAGTGAAAAAAGAAAAAAGTAAAATCTAACCAACCTAATTTAGCAGGGAAACAGTACATTGTACTAAATTGACAATCATAGCCAGATAACACAAAAAGAATGTTTGTATTTTCTTCCAACAAAATGAACAATGCCTGCAATATTAACCCTTTAAGCCCTAAGAGTGACTGGCATCTAATTTCTCCATACCATATCAGCCCTGAATCAAACATTAAGGTCACAAGAATAAAGGAAATGATCACCAACTAAAGAAACTCTTGATTGTCAAACAAATTCTCCCCGTCAGCACCTTTGTAAATTGACAGAGAACAGTATGGAGAACATGAATACTGATGTTAGGGTGTAAAAGGTTTAAAGCAAGAATATTTTTCAAGACTTTATAAAAATGTAGTGTGGTTGAAGCCTGTCTATTGGCTTATCTTTTTTCCCTTCGAGATGTCTTTTTTTTCTTTTAAATATACAGCTAAAACTGTGCAATGCATTGTTTTCAGGACTGGTGCGATTTTTTTACATCTTAAAGTAACCAAGAACGCTACCAAAAAAGCGACAATTCAAAAAAGAAAGCTACAACGGATTAAAGTTTACCTTCCAAATTCATATCACAGTAAACCAGTAAACCACGTTCTGTCAAGCACAACCCTCTAGGGAGACAGGACCCCCCTCGCATAAACCCCTCGTTCGAGCTTCCAATTCTTCGAAGTTCTTTACTGACCCTAAGCTTCTTGTAGAAATAACACAATCATTTGGTGTCGATGTTTATACATGTATCACAGCTGCTTTTTTTAAAAGAAGTTAACAAATATTTAAACTTAAAGGAAAAAAGAAAAGGATGAAATTTTCTATTTTGATAGAGAAATTGATACCAACGGGCGCGGGAGATTGGAAAACACGGACTGTAAGCAGCACGATTTTTATTCAAAGTGCTTTGTTAAGTTCTTACCTCTTCCGTTTAAACGGCGAATATAAAACCACGCTGGGTCTGAGCGGAAATTCTCGGGTCTTGCATCCTTTGTGCGGTTGTTCTGCGATCCTTTGATCTGTTCTTTTCTGTTGAAATTATAGATCTGGCAAATAATTTCCCTTTCACATAAGATATCACAGATGTGAGGAGCCGCCACCGCCATTCTCTTAAAAGCGAAACCTTTGAGAGCCATGCCACGAATGTTAATTTGTATGCTGCATTGATTCTCGGCGATTACAAGGTTGGTGACCGAAACACAGACAAGAAAATAATGAAATATCCATGATAAATCATATGCAAAGGTGTTTATGGACGACACGATAGGTCTTAGCGGTACATCGGCCTTATGGATCTTCGGTAAACCGTAGATTCAAGGCGGCTGTTTGTGTCGGGGTCGGATCTTGTTGTAAACGACCTCTGATAGATATCCGCAGCCCTCCATCCGCTTCACCATGGAGACAGAGAAAGACAACAAGCTCGCCTTCCCAGACACCGCAGTTTTAAGAGAACCTGACGGCCGCCTCACCACCAGCGTATACAGGAAGCCCACGCACACCGATCAATACTTAGCGTATGATTCACACCACCCTCAATCAGTAAAACGCGGTATTGTTAAGTGCCTTTACGAGCGCGCCAAACGCCTCGTAACAAAACCCTCCGTCATCTCCGAGAAGAAAAAACATCTGTCATCTGTTCTGGTTTCTAATGGTTATACTTTTTCTTTCTTGCAGAAACTTACCAAGACCGGAAAACCAAACAACAGTGCCGAACCCGCCAACGAGTTCAAAGCCGCTGCAGTTTAACCTTATGTTAAAGGTCTATCCGAACAGCTTCGCCGTTGCCTACAACAACAAGGCGTACGCGCTGTTTTCAAGTCGAAGACTACGCTAAGATCTCAGTTGGTACGACCAAAAGACGCTGTCGACCCGGCTAAACAAGATGGTGTAGTTTACAGGATTCCCTGTGAATGCGGCAAGGTGTACATCGGAGAGACTGGAGAACCTATGCAAGACAGAATTGAGGAGCACGATCGAGACATTCGAGTCGCCCGTACTGAGACCTCCGCCGTTTCAGAACATGCCCACAACACCGGACACAAGCCACTGTCAAAGAGGGTCAAAGAGGAAATTCATATAAGACTTCACCCTAACAACATCAACAGGGATAGTGAAATAGAAATTCCAGAAGCGTGGATGCCCACGATCAAGAAACACAACAACAGGAGAGCCGTGCGACAGCGGACCGCCGAGGGAGCAAATCACTGAGTGAACAGCAAAGATCGAAATGCACCAATCAGAGCTGTTGAAAAACAACCAATCACAGCAGAGCATCATGCTTTATAAGATCACGCATGACCAGTCGACCTCATCGCCTGAAGAAGACTAGCAGTATGCAGTCGAAACGTCGCGATCTACATCACACGTGACTAATTCGTGAGACAAACGAAAAACTTAGCTTTTATTGTTATTCACCACGATGAATAACCACAACCTTTTGCTCTTTTTTTAATCATCATGTGGCCAATGAGAATCAATTTTTTTACGAAACTGTAGAAAAGCTGTGTCGAGGTTTCTGTCGATCCAGCAGAGCTATTTCAGGAAAGTTTAAATAAGCCTCTCAACTTCTTTTTAAAATATAAAGGTCTGCCACTGGCTATCTTATCCATCTTGTGGGATTGAAAAGTCCGTTCTGCAAGAGACTGTCATCATAGGAACCGACTCGTTTTAGTTGTGTTCAAACTGAGCAAGCGAATAATTAGCCCCATCAGCATTACAATTTTTATATGACCACTCACAACAAAATCCACGAATATTACAGTGTATTTTGCCTTCGGCCTGGAAGAGCTAAAGCCCCAAGTTCCTCTTTTTTTAGGGATCTGAAAGGGCTTTGGTACAATTTTATGGGAAAAAGGTAAAGATGTGAATCGTACGTGAATCTTCCGTCTCTAATTAAGGGAGGCAACGTTGAGAAGGTTGAGAAAGTAAGGCAGGAGAAGAGACTGAAAGGATAAGGAAGCAAAAAAACCCTAAGACGAAAAACGAAGGTCGGGAAATTGATATGGTGAACTTGTGGATTCTCGTATTTTCAGTGAAATATACTTCCACCTTCTTTCTCCTATAACTTCGTTCACAATCAGTGTCAATTAGTTATAACTTAAGTGCAACTAAGTAAAGAGCCATTACTGACATTTAGGAATCAATTTATTGATTTTTAACATAATGTAATTTAAGTTGACACTACTGACTGAAGACTCACGGAAATGATAGTTGTTATTACAATTACACCTTTCTCCTCCTTTTTATATGGAAGAGCGCGAGAGCCTCCTAAAAAGTTATTCTAAATGTTGACAAAAACATACTAATCTAACAAGTAAACAAAGTTTTGCGGAAACTCGAACGTGTCATCCCCTTAGCATATATAACCGCTTTTACACCCTGCTTTCTGAAAAGGGAAACAGAAGCTAGATGACTGAATCTCATTTCAGAATTCTTTAGTTCCCTCATAATTAATCAACATCTGGAAACGCATTACTTAAAATGGAAACATCGACAATTTGGCATCAACCCTGGGCCATTTTTTTTCATTTCACAGGACTCCGCTCGAGGTGAAGCTGAACCCTTTTCAATTGACTGGGAATCCTAAAACCAAAATTAAAACAATAAAAAATGACGTATTCCAATGATAAAAAACAAGACATCAAACATATCAGAAATTAGTGAGACACACTCTTTGCGAATAGTTTGCAACCGGCACCGGTCGCGGTAAAAATGCAGTGAGTGTTATGCGCAGCAAAATATGAGCAAAAAAGAAGGGGAAACAAGGATACTGGGTCTAAATGAGCTGACGAAGACAAACAAATTGATTACATGATAAACCCTTACAGCCAATTGAAAACTATTCCTATAATGTAACACGTGAACTGAAGAACTGACTTCACAATAGTTTCTATACGAAATACCAACTAATCCTAATTCCTTGCATGTTATTTAATGAATAATTATAAATTGATGATATCCACCAAGATACAACTAGGTTCGTGATCGCCACATAGTCGATCTAACTTACAGTTACAGTGAAAGCTATTAAAGAATTCTGTTCTAGCATGAAGCCTGATCTGTGTTCAGACTGAGAGCCTTTTTGGTTACACACTCTATTATAACACCAATTATTACATAAGTTCGCCCGGTAGGCGTATCAGTTTTCCCAGTCCAATAAATGGACATGGTTTTGAAACAGCAAACCCAAGAATGACACGATATTTTATTCCCTTCCTTACTTTTGCTTTCACGTACTTAGAGAAATTAGACCGAATCATTAATAAGATTTATCGGTAAAATCACAAAGCTTCAAATTTCCGTGATACTAAAGCAGGTACCTAGAGGAAAAGTGAGGGTCACTGTGCTTTTAATGTTTTTAACAACATTTCTGTTTTTTGTTTTCGGCTGGGCCTTTATATGCAGTGGGAGTTGTGCCCTCGCCACCATATTTTGGCCTTCTCTTTCTCTGCTGTCCGGATCTTTCCAACCTAAGGTGTTATTGAAAGCTTTGAAACATCGAATCAAGAGTATCATCGTAAAACTAAAACAAAGCCAAAATATTTATAAATGAAGGATTTTCTTGATAATTAACAAATGAGGCCATACAAATCCCAAATCAAATAAAAGTTTTAAAACCGCAATTTGTTTCATGCGAAAAACTGCAATCACTCGGCCCAAAGAGCGGCCGGAAAAGCAAAGATACTGGGTCTAACTGATCTTATTAAAATCGATTTTGGTTTTGACTTAATCAAGAAAAACGAATTGATAAACCCTCCCAGTCTGTTGAAAGTCATTCATAAATATATGTGATATATGATTGAAGTACAGAAAAATATGAAGGACTGTCTTCACAGCATTTTCAATGCAAAATACTAACTAGTCCTAACACCCTGCATGTTATTTATCGACTAGTTATCAACTAATGCACGTGTCTATCTGATAAACTGCGCAGAAAAGAGCCGCAAAAAAGAACAAAACAATTGAAGGAGACGTTTTCTCTACGTCAGGAGATGTTTACAAATAAATCTATTCTAGAAAATTATGTTTGTAAAATTAAAATCTGAACTAAAAAACCAATGACTTTAATTCCTCAGGTTGCACTGTTTTGCCAGCACCTTAAAACGCTCAGTAACTAAACATGAAGATTAAACAAAAAAATATTCAACTCCGACTAACAGCAATCAGCCTTCAAAACAGAATTAGCCTTACACATTAAAGAAAGTGCTGCCAAGGGTATGTCACTGAAGAAACGTGATGATCACTCTACCATGTCCACACCTATTAAAACAACATTCATTTTGTTGATTTGTCCCATTGTTGAAAGATCCACCCCCTCCCCCACAAGAAAACTGTTCATTAGCTCCACCATTTCCTCCGGAGTAACCTCCACCCCCTCCAGCTCCAGGCTTACCTCCACGAAAACCACCGCCACCTCCAAACCCACCCTTACCATCTCCACCTTTTCCTCCTTGAAGATAGCCTTCACCTCGAATCCATTTAGGAGCACCTTCTCCATCAGTGTAGAAGCCGCCGCCACCACCACCTACATTAAACGAAAACTGAGAAGTAGTTGTCTCATAAATGGCTCCTATTTGATTACTTACTTGAGAACGTTTAAACGACAATTCGCAGTATTATCAACTAAGGGCACTTATTAATTTTGGAATTTTATTTAAAAATATTATTGGGTAGTCAATTACTAAAAATACAAAAGCTTACCAGGACAAAAGAAATGTAAATGAAGTAATGCGTATGCATATTGACGGTCGGTGGTAAGCAGTAAATAAATGTGCATGACTTTTAAAAAACTTAACAGGCGAAACTCAGTTGCACTTTAGATATACTAAGAGGTGCCTCCGAGAAAAGAAAAACTTCAAGTTAGAATAAGTAATTTCCATAATTAAGTTCTGATAAATCTCACTGTCGTCTTCTTGTCGCGATGGATTGAACAAACTGTTTGTTTTTTTTCTTCTTTCTCCGCCTACCTGCAAATTGACCACCAGATTTTCCTCCATATCCGTTTCTTCCTCCTAATCCAAATGGCGAGTTGTTCCCTGCACTCCCTGTTGTAGTTAAGGACGCATCACATCCTGGATATTGTTCTGACATGTTTTCTATTCCTCCTCCACCTCCAGCTATGATCAAAGGCGTGTTG